ATTAGGCGCAAAGATGGGCGCCGAGGTGTCCTGGTTATGTTCACACGTCAGATTAGCTTCATTCGTTTCGATGGTAAATTGATACTGGCGCATGTCAGGGCGACAAAACTGCCATTAGCTTATTTGTTACAATCCTTGAAATGGTGGAGCAGTCTTGCCAGCGAGCGATTGCTGTTGACACATGTTCTGGTCACTTCCGAGTGCCAGTGCCCTTCTGAGAGAGGGTGAATTATGACGGGGTTTTACTTTATTTCATTTATAATTCTCACTTTTTGCTCCGAGGAACAAGTGAAAAGATTGGTGATCTTCACTGTGCACAAAAATTATCTCAAGAGATCACGGAGGGGATTGTTTTGTTATTCGTGCAATCTGTTTTGTTATAATTCTCACTTCTGGAAGGTTATCTCTGGGGACTGCGCTTGATAATTGCTGTGCTTATATATCATATAAATCAGAGATTTCCCCGTGAATCCGCATTGTTTGTTCGTACGAGAATGTGTGGTTGGAATTAAGATTTAGTTTGGAGCACGCGTGGTCAAATTTTTTATCTAAGAAAGATGTAACGTTTCCGGAGATGAAGAAAACCAAATTTCGAAGAGGCTTGCAGGAAAAGTATTCCTCTCGGCTAATTTGTGACGTTCTAAGGAGCATGTAAGAAGATTGGTGATCTTCACTGTGCACAAAAATTATCTCAAGAGGTCACGGAGGGGAACTGTTTTGTTATTCGCGCACTTTGCAGACCTCCTCTTTTGGTTACGAACGATCTCTGGTTGAGCAGCATGAGCAGCATCGAAAGTGGGGGCGATGAGGGGAGAGCCGGAAGTGGCGGCGGACAAGGTAGCATGGACGGTGAAAGTGGAAGTGCGGATGGTGAAAGGGGAAGCGCGCCATCCTCTGTTTCATCAAAAGATGTTCTCGGCACTCCGGATGGTTAGCCTTTTCCCTGTTATATTTTTATGAATGCGGCCACGGCCTATATAAAATATAATAAAAAAAATTAAACAACTATTCAGTTCATCGAATCGTATTCGCTTCTACTTAGCACCATAAATGCACCGTGTTGTTGCAACGGTTATAGGTTTTTAAAACGTCAATGCTTAAAAAAAAGGGGAAATTAAAGGAAATATGAAATATTTCGTTTTCATGAACCACATTTCTGGTCTTATTTTTTTCCTGATTTTTGCAGCGTTGTTGGGTGTGAAGAGTTTTTCCCTCTCTTCCTTTCTACTACCCATAGGAACGGGAAAAACTCAATTTTTTCAAAAAAAAAAAAATTGAAATTAACAAATTTACTGCGATTACTAAGACCACCTGGTTAGTCATTGTAGGATCAAGTGTTATTGATGGTTCCACGTGCCAACCCCACGAACAAAGCTGTTCTCAAAGTCGCAGAATTTCAGAAAATCCAGTATGGGCGCGACTACGTGAAAGAGCGATGGGACAATCGCAGTCCTATAGCATAAATCTAGCTTGTGAAGGTTTGCTCCATTTTTATTGTCTATTAGGAACAGTAATGAGTAGCAGGAGATTATTCAGGACCACAGGAAGCTATTTTAAAGATGTGTTTTTTGATAACCCTCAGATTTTTTTTTTTTTGACATTTTATATTAAAAGTAGTAACGCAACTGTGAAGAAAAGGATGGTCTTTGTTTCAGTTTTGAAATTAAGAAAAAGAAAACCAAAATTTTCTTTTAAAAGTAAAAGAAAATGTCAAAGATTGAATTAAGTGTTTGCTGAGGGATGCAAAATTGGCCGCCAAGGCGATGCGAAATTTTAACTAGTGTTTTCACGATTCAATCAAAATGTGTCACTTTTACAGAGCAAGTCTAGGTGCACAAACGGTAAAAAAAAAGTGCCATGTTTAGGCAAACCATGGCAAATATGGTGCAGGAATGACATTTTGAGCGATAGAAAACAGTTTTGAGGCAAATATGCATCTGTCCGCATATTAAAAGTTAGACGCGACAACAGTCGAAAATACTGTTCTGGAACAGTTCGCTAAGTTAGGATATGACTTATGGCGAATCGTTTTTTGCAGAATCAATGGGTGTTTCATCGCCGGAGTGTTCACCGTCGCCGGAATGCAAGTTTCCGAGTGCTGACGAAGCGGGGCCTTCAATTGTTTGCGTTGGTGCGCTTTTCAGTTTTAACTTAAAGGTACCATGACCTCTTAAAGTGCCGGCATTAAGTTTACCCTTGCTGAGAATAGAAGCATGCAGATTCCTTTCACATGCACACGGTCTTGATTCTTTGCCAGCAATATTTGTTGCATGTCTGGAACAGCTGAGACTTCACCGGGACGTGGTAGAAATTGTTAGCGATAATCTCTTTTGGTTGGGGACCAGTCATTGATTTGACGTTCACTGATTGCTTAGCAAGTTGAGAAATATGCCATGTTTTGGTAAAATTAGAATTTTAAAATAATAGAGGGAATTGCTAATAATGATATTTGCTTTTTTTTCGAAAAGTTTCTGTGGAACCAGAAAACCGACTTGAATTAATTAATGTAAAAGCAGGGATTTATAGTTTTACTCTGGCGTACGGAATAGCGCAGTTGTTAAAATGAAAAGATAAAACTCTTCTTTGTTCACTCTACGCTATAAACAAAGGCTCCCCGATGTATCTCGAGTAGAAAGCCCATAGCGAAAGTAGCCAGAACTTGATAAGGCTGTCAGGAACCCAGGAGGATTGCTTAGAAGGAAGTCGAGGGCAAGTCCTTCCCCTCTGTGTGTGCCAGTACTAGTTTACCTGTGAAAAAAAATGAACAGATCGACTAGGGGATGCAATTTTTGTTCGGGAATTACAACGAGGCCAACTGTTTGTATATGTCGGCATCGAACTTACAATTATTCAGAACCGGAATCACCGGATGAATGTGGTGCTGCTTCTTCGGACAGCTGCCTTCACCAAGCCTTTACGGCTTCAATGCAGAAGCGAAACGATGAAGCGCTTCGAAAGTTGCAAGAGGCCATTGATAACAACGAGCCGTTCGATATCGGTTAGTTGATAAGCTAAGAGCGACATTCAAACATTCATTGCATTAATTTAAACTTTATACTTGCCTAAAGTTTCAGATCTCAGTCATATTTTTCGCAGTTTGATTTCTTTGTAAGACAAATACACATCTCGCTAGTCATTCACTCCATATAAGCTCTTATCTATGGGACAGTGTGTAAGAGAAGTCAGATTTCCGGTGATGAGGTTTCGAATCCATATTCGGAGACTGCCTCGAAAAGACGGGACGAGAGGCAAAAATTATTATATGTCGATTTTGTTTCAACGCATTAAAAATGAGAGAGAAAGTGGCCTTCTTTTTTTTAGAAATCCGATTTATTCGCTCCTCTTCCCCTCCCCCCTCCACCTCCTCGAGCACATATGGCAGTAGTTAATTCAGCCTTCTGATCCGTTGTTTAACATCATCGGTCGCAAAGTTGCATGTGACGAAAGCAGAAATTAACTTGAATAGAGTGCAAAGTCGAAGATGAAGTCTGCTGTAGCTTTCGAATTCGAGTTCTCTGATGTAGTGGAAAGCACAGCGTTCGTGGACCCAAAGTAACAAATCATAACCAATATAAAAGCAAAAGAATGCTTTTTCTGCCGGCCAATGGCCAAGTCGCCGATAAAATTTTTTTCATAGCACTTTTATATGCTTTTAAGAAGGAACGGTACAGTGATTGCGTAGCATTTCTGCTAGAATTGTGTTTATGCCAGTTTTGAGCTTTTCCTTATCCCTGCTTTTACAGATGACATTTCGTTGGTGGACAATGTTTTCTCTTATAAGTTCAACAACTCAGCCGACGTGCAAGAAAAAGTTTGCATATGCGAGGAGTGGCTGAACTTCTTGGTGAAAATCACTCCGATCGCAACATCGCGCTGGCTATCGCATTTTCAATTTAGCATATATTACACTTATCACTTGGTAAAAATTTATTATCAGCGAGTTTTATTGCGCATCGGAAGAGAATCCTTCCACCGCTGCTTCAGTTACAATCGGATTTTCGGGATCTCTTAATTATAAAAA